ATAATGGAATATGGCACAATATGAGATCTGTTTTTAGATATCCATCCGTCCATCTTGAGCAAGCAGCAATGGCTGTAGTCTAGTCTGGTTTAGGCTTTGTCTTTTCTGTTCTCTTTCTGGGAATAATTTGACATGCAACTCATCTGATTAAGACGAATACCACATTTACTTTCAAAAAGTGTAACATATTGTGAACACTTATGGGCAAACAACAGCAAAAAAGAATTAAATGGGTTTGAATGATTTTAGTAACAGAATGCTTATTATCCTTTATAGGTTCGCTCTAGCCCTTCTAACAATCAGTCACGTGGAAGTTGCACTCCCAATAGTTTTCCTTATGTTTGTTCAGTGTGTGGAAAAGGATTCAGTACTCTGATTATCTTAAATAGTCACAAAACTGAACACTGGTGGAGAAAAGACAAGAACGAGAAGAATGAATGTCCTGTTTGCAATAAACTTTTCTCGAGAACAGCAAATTTGAAACAACATATGAAGCATGTTCATGGAAATACCCGATTTAAATGTCCGCATTGTAGAAAGGAATTGTCACGACACAATGTTCTTCGAAAGCATTTTGAGACTTGTAAAGTTTTAAAAATGAGAAGATTAATGGGAAAATCTTGATCCATTTATGAAGTCCTTTGATTTTAAGACATTATACCTAGTACTGGAATTTTAGGATGACTGTGATTGATTCGTGTGTGTGCTTGTGTGAATGTGTGTGACAAAACGATAATTAAGGATAAGGACAGTGTAGTTCACTAGTCAAAAGTTATATTCTAATAAAAGTATTTTCTATTATTTGAATAATAAAAATTGAATCTCTATGCACCCTTACTTTTAAATGAAAGGTTTTGACATTTTGTGGTGGTGGTTTTTGTTTGAGTGGCACATGATAGAACATTGGGTTTGGGATTTTAGTTGCATTTATCTAATGTTATTTGAACAAATAAGATTTAAGAATTTGCTGTGTTTTTTTTTATTTCTTTATTATTCATGACTTCAATTTTTGTCCATTATACAAAATGATAATATTTTTATAATAATCTATTATTTTAAATTCAAATTCAAAGTAGCATTAAAAGTAGTCCAATTTTTTTATGTCTTGCACAGTTAGCACTGCTGAGCATCCACAAGGCGAAATTTGATATATACTTAAAAACAAATTTCATAATGAGTTATTTTGTCCCTTTGTAGGTCACTCCCACAAAAACTTCTTCACAATATTTGGACAGCAAAATTCGACCCTATATTTGTTCCTTTTGTGGAACGAAATTCACACAGAAGTCGTCATTGAACAGACACAGAAACAAACACTTGAAGAAAGAATACAAGTGCCGTTTCTGTGACAAAACTACATATAGTGCAGACCTATTGCGCTACCATCTCAGAGCGCATCACAAAATCAGTCGATGAGCCAAGATTTGTGATGGCAAATACTAATTTTACTGATTTGGTCATCTTTTGGGAACTTCTGCATCAATTTACTGAAGCATGTTTTTATCAAGAATATTTGTCCTTCACTATGTTGATTTCTCACAAAAGTCACTCAGTCAAATACTTCATGTTTTCAAGTTTTATTTTTCTTAGTATTTGTGTTTGACAATAGAGACATTTCTGTTTGGTGGTTCTTGTCCTGAAGCTGTTCTTATGAATTGTAAGTCTAGATTTTAATTTACTGTCTTCAATTATTGAGATGTAGTAGTTACCTGTATGATAGAGTTGTCTTAGTTTTACAAATCATTTGTATTTTTTTTTTATTCTGAAAAGTGTTCTGATCAATTTGTTTTCCCCACATATGTTCTGGTTTTACTTCTGCATTGTATACAAGTCTTCAACACATTAATAGTTTTTGCAAATGTTTGGGAGCAAATGAAATGCTGCAATGGTCATTTTGAAAGACAAAAAAATTAATTGAAGAGTTGAAGACCAGCAGCATGACAATATTAAAATGTGTAAATTATGAATGTTTGTCAAAGTCTTTTTAGCCCCACACCCCATTTGAGTTTATTAACTTCTGTAGAGAGCCATTTGAGTTTATAAACTTCTGTAGAGAGGACTTTTGTCAATTTAATCATAGAGTACTGATAAAAAAGGAGTAGCAACAAAGCAGAGGAAAGTTAGTCAACAAATATAGCAAGGGCAATGTTAAATGAAGTGAAGTGCACATAGCCAGCCAATAATCAACTATAATTGATTTAAAAAAACAGAAAGTTGTACCTAGTTTGTGTTTGCTTCACCATTAAAGACTGACTTATGCAGGTCTCTCCTCATTTCCCATTTTAAAGCCATTTTCCAGTTCCCGCTGAACGAGTCAATACTTATATAAGTTGAAATAAATCCAAAATTGCTCTGTGATGCTGTGTGAGCACCTTACATACAGTTGCTTATATTTTTGAGGAGAAAAAAANCGGTTTTGATTGGGGGGTGGGGGGGGGGGATGGGGGGGGGAGTAAAAGTTTGATGTCATGTGTCCAGAGTTGACTTGAACAAAGAGGTTGGCACTTCTGATATCCTGTTTGCATCCAGAAACCAAGCATTTCTTCTCTGTATAGGTCAAAAAATGTCAGTAACACAATTTTCATTATCAATAGGGAAGAGGAGGAAATCGGGGGGCCTGTCAGTTGGACTCGAGGCTGACTTGTTCGTTCTGCGATCAGACATTTGCTCACTATAGCAGCAAGTCCCGTCATGTGAGCAAACAGCATAAAATATTTGACAGGTTTCATTGTAAGGATTGTGGAAAACACTACAGTACAGAAGCCTTTCTTCGAAGTCACTTTTGTACAAAATCAGAGCTCACTGGGACCTGCAAACTACGGGAGCTTGTGTGAATTAAGGAGGTGAGAGATTGGTTTCTAGGAAGTATGGAGGAGAAAGTTGGCTGCAGACAAGTTGGTATCCAGAGGAACATGGATGCTAGATTACATAGTTATTACTAGGGGAAGATACACAACTTCGCCATCTTTTAACTTTTTGAACTTGTAGTCCTGACTGTCTTTGTTTAGGAGATACATGTTACTTAGGGTTTCACTGGTGCATGATGGGAAAGATCTCTATAGTCTCTACGAGAAAGAAACACCTGAATGATGTTGTTTTAATAGATGTGAATGTTAGGGAGACCAGAAGAGGAAGTGTTTATGGAACTAACCCAATTTTTCATATATAAAAGCATAAAATATGGAGAAATATTTAATCAGTTAAAATGAATGTTTTTGAGAGATAACCGTAATGACTATAATGTATAATAGTCTTGTGCATTAAGGGACTGTGAAAAACTACAGACTGACTCTGCCTTTCTTTTGATTTACAAGATGAGCTCATGGCTTGGTCTGATGTGGATGAACATCTAGATCTTCTGAATTTCAGAGCATGAGGAATTCCAAGGATCAAGTTGAGTTGTCGTCAGGAACCTACAAGGACAAACTGCTCTGCAACATTTGTCAGAAAACTTTCTCTTTTCAATCAAATTTAGTCCGTCATTTGCACAATTTGCACAAGCACACGGCTCACTTTCCTTGCCACATTTGTGGGAAACAGTACAGTAGAAAAGACAACCTGAGGACACACCAGAATAATGTGCACTGCCTCAAAGAGAAATGATGAAGCCCTTTAACTTTCTTCAAGATTTTTGCAAAATCTGCACGGCTTCCATTGATTTTGTTTCTTGGCAATAACTTGAGAAGCTTTTGAAGACATGAAAAATTGCGATGGTTGTTATAAACTGAGGAGTACATTTAGTATAAGAGAGAATACCGTGCATTGTCAGCAGGTCTTGCATAATTTGATTTTCATTATTCCCGTACTTTTTGCTGACATCAGTCCTGGCAAGAACTGCAGAAACATTTTCTAAATCTGAAAGAAATTGAGATCAGTATCATTTGAAATGACATCCTGCCTTTGTCGTGTTTGTCTGAAAATTGTGATATTAATCCGTTCGCAACTACAGACTGGCCATAAGTAGTATTAAAAACTTTTTCTCTTTTACACTCTTCTATTACTATAGTGAGTGATGAAAAAAAATTCTATCAAGTTTTTGGAATTTCAGAACTGTGGAATAGCTGCAAATGAAAATGGTATGAGGGATCCTAATTCCAAGAAAAAACTTGTCTGTGTTGTCTGTCAGAAAAGTTTTTCTACTCAGACCAATCTGAATCGTCATCTGCGAAGCAAGCACGAGCCATGTTCCTACAAGTGCGACATTTGCGGAAAACCATTTAATAGAAGCGATAACTTGCAAAAGCACATAATGCATATGCATTTAACTAAAATTAAATAGAGGAAGCACAATGTTGTGAATTTAAGCAAGTCAAAAGACTGACGTAGAAAAAATACCATCAAAGTTATTTGCTTTGGTTTTTTTTTCTTACTTTGGCAGAATGTTTTAAAATAAGGTCACAATTGTCATGAAGAATTGGCACGGAAGGCAGAAACATTTGGGCCATTCAAACTTTAAAGAAAGCAAAGACTTGCATAACAGGCTTACTCTGTATGTATATTTGTTAGAATTTAGGAAACAAACTTTTTATACTGTTTCAGTTTCATGGCCCTAAATGTGCTTAAGGGAGGGGGGGGGGGGAGAGCAGTAATTAGAACCTGGGTATTATGTTAAGGGGAAATGAAATATCCTTAGAATAAAGATTACTTATTACTGAATATGTTGCAGTGTTTGTTGAAATCTTCTGTCAACATTAGAGTAGAAACTGCTGCATGGATTATGGTTTAGTAACGAAATATGGCACAAAATGAGATATGTTTTTAGATGTCCCTCCGTCCATCTTGAGCAAGCAACAATGGCTGTTGTCTAGTCTGGTTTAGGCTTTGTCTTTTCTGTTCTCTTTTTGGGAATAATTTGACATGCAACTCATCTGATTAAGACAAATACCACATTTACTTCCACAAAGTGTAACATATTGTGAACACTTATGGGCAAACCACAGCAAAAAGAATTAAATGGGATTGAATGATTTTAGTAACAGATTACTTATTATTCTTTATAGGTTCTCTCTAGCCCTTCTAACAATCAGTCACGTGGAAGTTGCAGCCCCAATAGTTTTCCTTATGTTTGTTCAGTGTGTGGAAAAGGATTCAGTACTCTGATTATCTTAAATAGTCACAAAACTGAACACTGGTGGAGAAAAGACAAGAACGAGAAGAATGAATGTCCTGTTTGCAATAAACTTTTCTCGAGAACGGCAAATTTGAAACAACATATGAAGCATGTTCACGGAAATACCCGATTTAAATGTCCGCATTGTAGAAAGGAATTGTCACGACACAATGTTCTTCGAAAGCATTTTGAGACTTGTAAAGTTTTAAAAATGAGAAGATTAACGGGAAAATCTTGATCCATTTATTAAGTCCTTTAATTTTAAGACATTATACCTAGTACTGGAAATTTTAGAATGATTCGTGTGTGTGCCTACGTGCATGTGTGTGTAACAAGACGATAATAAGGGTAAGGGCAGTGTAGTTCACTAGTCAAGCATTATCCTAATGAAAGTATTTTCTATTATTTGAATAATAAAAATTGAATCTATATGTACACTGACTTTCAAATGAAAGTTATGGCATCTTGTGGTGGTGGTTTTTGTTTGAGTGGCACATGATAGAACATTGGATTTGGGATTTTAAATGCATTTATCCAAAATTATTTGAACAAATAAGATGTTTTTTTTTTAAGTTCGTTATTATTCATGACTTCAATCTTTGTCCATCATACAAAATGATAATATATTTATGATAATTTATTATTTTTAAATTCAAATTCAAAGTAGCATTAAAAGAAGTCCAAATTGGACTAATGTTTTCTTTTATGTCTTGCACAGTTAGCACTGCTGAGCATCCACAAGGCAAAATTTGATATATACTTAAAAACAAATTTCATAATGAATTATTTTGTCCCTTTGTAGGTCACTCCCACAAAAACTTCTTCACAATATTTGGACAGCAAAATTCGACCCTATATTTGTTCCTTTTGTGGAACGAAATTCACACAGAAGTCGTCATTGAACAGACACAGAAACAAACACTTGAAGAAAGAATACAAGTGCCGTTTCTGTGACAAAACTACATATAGTGCAGACCTATTGCGCTACCATCTCAGAGCGCATCACAAAATCAGTCGATGAGCCAAGATTTGTGGTGGCAAATACTAATTTTACTGATTTGGTCATCTTTTGGGAACTTCTGCATCAATTTACTGAAGCATGTTTTTATCAAGAATATTTGTCCTTCACTATGTTGATTTCTCACAAAACTCACTCAGTCAAATACTTCATGTTTTTAAGTTTTATTTTTCTTAGTATTTGTGTTTGACAATAGAGACATTTCTGTTTGGTGGTTCTTGTCCTGAAGCTGTTCTTATGAATTGTCAGTCTAGATTTTAATTTACTGTCTTCAATTATTGAGATGTAGTAGTTACCTGTATGATAGAGTTGTCTTAGTTTTACAAATCATTTGTATATTTTTTTATTCTGAAAAGTGTTCTGATCAATTTGTTTTCCCCACATATGTTCTGGTTTTACTTCTGCATTGTGTACAAGTCTTCAACACATTAAGAGTTTTTGCAAATGTTTGGGAGCAAATGAAATGCTGCAATGGTCATTTTGAAAGACAAAAAAATTAATTGAAGAGTTGAAGACCAGCAGCATGACAATATTAAAATGTGTAAATTATGAATCTTTGTCAAGGTCTTTTTAGCCCCACACCCCATTTGAGTTTATTAACTTTTGTAGAGAGCCATTTGAGTTTATAAACTTCTGTAGAGAGGACTTTTGTCAATTTAATCATAGAGTACTGATAAAAAAGGAGTAGCAACAAAGCAGAGGAAAGTTAGTCAACAAATATAGCAAGGGCAATGTTAAATGAAGTGAAGTGCACATAGCCAGCCAATAATCAACTATAATTGATTTAAAAAAACAGAAAATTGTACCTAGTTTGTGTTTGCTTCACCATTAAAGACTGACTTATGCAGGTCTCTCCTCATTTCCCATTTTAAAGCCTTTTTCCAGTTCCCGCTGAACGAGTCAATACTTATATAAGTTGAAATAAATCCAAAATTGCTCTGTGATGCTGTGTGAGCACCTTACATACAGTTGCATATATTTTTGAGGAGAAAAAANAAAAACAGAAAGTTGTACCTAGTTTGTGTTTGCTTCACCATTAAAGACTGACTTATGCAGGTCTCTCCTCATTTCCCATTTTAAAGCCATTTTCCAGTTCCCGCTGAACGAGTCAATACTTATATAAGTTGAAATAAATCCAAAATTGCTCTGTGATGCTGTGTGAGCACCTTACATACAGTTGCTTATATTTTTGAGGAGAAAAAAATATTCATTAGGGATCATTTGATATAAGTTAAGAGGCTTTGTCATTTCCTCTTGTAGATGGTTTCCAGGAAAGTAATTTGGCCAATCAAACTTAAGCAAAGCCCGTTGCCAAGGAGATCACTTGTTGCCAACATCCATCACCATTTTTGCTCTGTCTGTGGCCAAGGATTTGTGCAAAAGTCCACGCTAACAAGGCATATGAACAAGCATTTACAGAAAGAGTACAAGTGCCCTTATTGTGATAAAGTTGTATATCGGACAGATCTGCTTCAGTACCATTTGAAAACTAGACATAACATTCTGACGCCTGGTAGAAAGAAGTCTACTGCTTCTGGAGAGAAACAGAAATGTTCTTGAACAATGCAGTTGGTACTTTAAGAGAAACAATATTTATTAGTCATGGTAAATAAAGGATTTGTACACACTTTTATAATCAATTGTAATTTTGCATTTAGAGCAATTGAAGAAGACATTGTAGCATAGTCAGTATATTGGACTATTTGGAAAAAGGTGATGCCTATCCGAATACAATTACTGTACTTCAGAGCACCTATAAACCATATATGCAAAATAAAAGAAGATTGTCTTTTAAAAAATTATAAAACTGTGTTACTGGGTATTCCCATGTAGACATTTTTGTCTCTGCATTTGTGTTTTGTTTCCCCACTTGCAGATACAATTCAGGGCTACTACAGCTGCAAGTAGAAGGGAGATGCTAAGATTTAAAAAGTTTGCCAGCCTTCGGAGACACTTTTGCTCTGTCTGTGGCCAGGGATTTGTGCAGAAATCGACCATGACCCGACATATGAACAAACACTTGAAAAAAGAATACAAATGTCCTCTGTGTAATAAGATTGTATATAGAAGTGACCTGTTACACAGACATCTGAAGTTTCAACATCATGCGATGTCTAATCCTGATGGCAGTAGAAAATGAAAATTATTTTAGAAATAGACTTGATGATCTGCAGAAGGTGCTTTTAGTGCTTTAGACTTCGATACCTGTTCCCTCTTAAGTAAATGGGACATTACAGAGTTCAAGAAAATTTTTCAGAGAATATTTCTTATTGGTGTTAAGTTGTTTTTCTTCTACCAGAGAGACATTTGGTCAAACACTTTTGAGCACCTTGTAACATCCTTTGGCATGTTATAGCTATGATAGGGTCAGATAAAAGTCAATATCCAATTTTAGTATATTTCAAACTTGTTTCTTTGCCACAGATATCACCCAGAGGATTGTCTTTGTTTGCAAATGCCAGAGAGATTGCAATGCACGCAGAATTTGGCAAATTTCGCAGCCATTTTTGTACAGTCTGTGGGCAAGGGTTTGTGCAGAAATCTACATTGACCCGTCATATGAACAAACACTTACGCAAAGAATACAATTGTCCATTGTGCAATAGAACTTTCTATCGTAGCGACCATCTTCTACACCACCAGAAAAAGTGGCACAAAGAACACCCCATTTCCAAAAAGAGCAGACGTGCACACCAGAAGATTGGTGGGAAAGATAAATGCACCTAATCTAGATGTGCAGCTTGTGGTGAGCTCCTGAGAAACTTTTGAGGAACTTATTGTTTCATGTTTACTTACTTAAAAAGCACAAACGCTGTGGAATGAAAAAAATGGCAACCTTTGTTTCTACCTTTTAGATTTGAAGGCATATTTGATATTGTTAGTGAAACTTAAAGAAACTTAAGTTTTGTTTCCAATATTAAGGCAATGGTATGGATAATTAAAGCAGATTATCAGCAATCCAATTTTATTGGAGCATTGGCATTGCAAGGTCAAGGCTCTCATTCAAGCTATTCTCAAGAAAGGATTTAAGAATGGAAGGCAATATTTTTTTAGCACTGGTGTAAATACCTGAATGTATCTACAGATATTGCCAACTTTTGTGCACTGCAATAACATAAAATCTGCCTCCTTCAGGCCTAATAAACAGATTAGGTATATGTGAACTCAAACCTCAGATTTGTGAGCACAGATGCCCAAGTTAACAACTGGAGCCACAAATTAAGTAACTGAATGTTAAATTAGTAGACACAAGCACAGTGTTATGACACTCAAAATGCTCTGTCGCTGTGTTTGAATCTACTAATTTTACGTAATTTGTGGCTCGAGTCATAAATTTGGGTATTCGTGCTCCCAAATCTAAGGTTCATGATAGCATACGGTTTATGAGGCCTGATCCTCATCCTCTGCTTGCTTCTTTGTAGGAGAGCAACTTGGAGGATCTTGTTTGCTCAATATGCACTAGGAGGTTTTCCACACGAGGGAACTTAAAAAGACACCTTTCCATTCAGCATTCATCAATAACTCAGCAATGTCCATGGTGTGGAGTGAAGTGCAAACGTACAGACTACCTAAAACATCACATGCGTACCATCTGTAGAGCTAGGTTTGCAAGTGGGAAGAATGATCATTATTTGGAGAATGTTACATGATGAGTAACTGTGAATGAATTTACATCTAAGCTAAGCAGCTATATAGAGAATTAATATGATGAAACCACAGAAGTTTGGAAATGGGATCTATGAACATTTTGTTTTGTAGTAAATGGTATATTTGTAATGAGATAAAAATGATGTAGAGAGTGATTTTATTGGATGTGTGTAATTGCTAAATATTGCTCTAATGTAGTGACTATGGCACCTGCTGTCAGATGTCAAATAAACTAATTGACTATCAGTCTATCATTATTGACTTCTTGACTATGACTTCCTAGCAAAATTAAGCCAGGAATAACAACTGAAAGAGATCTGAGTTATATTAAGGAGAAGTTATAAAAGAAGTAATTGTGTATGTGCTAGTAATGGCTGTCCAAAAATTATGTTTAAACACAGTTCATGTGTAATAAATTGATAATTGAAGCAGATTTTAATCAGGTGTTTTACAGTGCTGTTAGTTGGTTTAGTCTATTTGCCAACATTTTGCAACATACATCAGAAAACTATTGAGTGCGATTATATGTGGGGATGTTTTGCATATTTGCAAGGTTTCATCGATTTCTGAAGCATTTTCGGTGAAAACAAATTTGATAATTTTAGTCATTGGCTATTGAATATAACAATTTTTTTCATTTATTATTTAAGAATTGCACCTGGGGGTATATACAGGCACTGCATAATTATTGTACTGTTTTGTCTCTTGATGAAAGGAACAAATACATTTTACAATATATATGTTATTTGTGTGTTTTGGGTTTATTCACATGTAGGGAAACCTGAATGGGCTTGATCTATATGATGTCGTATTTTTAATTGCTGAACTTTTGAACTTGAACTAAAGAAGTCATATGTCAAGTGACACCAAAATAAGATGAGAAAAGTTTTTGAGGGCAGGGGGGAGGACTTTTTAGTCATGCTCCATCACCATGACTGACATGTAAAAGGAAGGCTGAAGGTGGGGTGTGGACTGTCGCCCTCTCCTGAAGCCTACCCTTTACCCCAACAGAATCTGCTTTTGCTTCTTACTGGTTAATAAAATAGTGTTTTGGAACAATAGAAAGTTGAATGGTGCATAAGCCTTTATATCATATCTTGCCCTCTTACAGGAGGATGGAGACCTTTTCTGCACAGTTTGTCACAAACAATTTTCACAACGAAGCAATTTAAGGCGCCATATGGCAAGTCAGCATAATGTACAGAAGAGAAACTGCCCCTGGTGCGGAGTCGCTTACACGTGCAGATACTACCTTCAGCGCCATCTACGCCGTCACTGTAGAGGAAAAAATCCTAAAAAAAGATTTTAGCTTTTCGATCACAATCTGTTTTGAAGAAGAACAGCAGTACATGGAAGACAAGATTGGAAAATACCTATGTTATGTGGTCAGATTATATAAATGATACAGTATTAGATCAATCTACATCTAACCATGTTGGACTTCTGGATTGATTATGATATGAACAAAAAATTAGTTTGCTGTCAAATACTCAGTTAATACACACGCTTTGAAGCTGAAAGGATCTTTTTCAAAAATACTATCTACTACTACTACTACAAAAAAAAATACAATATTGAAATTGAGACTTAAGCATGTAAATTGTGTATAGTTCAAATTATTAAAAATTCCTCTCCTTATTGGGGAGTATTCAATCAGTACCTGTAGAAAAGGGTCGCATGCTCTGGAAGTGGATAATTTTTATGTTGTAAACTTGGTGGCTATAGTGGGTTTTATATATTAAGAACACTCACCGTGAGATTTACAGTATAGAGTGTCCAACCCAATACCAGAGGCCAGCAAAGTGATAACATCAATCCAATACATACGTAGTTTATCTATGGACTCACAGTACAGGGAAGAGCATAGAATTAACCAGAGACATAATTATGAGTATCTGGGGAAAA